GTAGGCAGGTGGCGACGCACAGCAAGACGTGCAGCAGCATCGCGCGTGGCCCACTGGGAGCGAACAGTGGCGTCAGCGTCAGCAGTAGGGGCAGGAGAGGCGCCAGAGGTGAGGTCAAAGAGGGAGAGACCGTCTGCCCTATCGCACTGTAGGAAAAGCTGCACGTCATCTACCCAAACCTCAAAGTCAATGGCCCGACCCTTAGCGTCAAAAGCGAGAACACTGGGGGTAGCCATGACAGTAGTAGACTAGTAGTACCAACCGTAGGACAGGGGCAGTGCAGTGACAGACGCGCTGCTCTCACCAGACAGGGCGGTTCGGACAGCGTAGTAGCACAGCAGCACGGCGGCTCGGGCGACTCGGGCGGCTCAGCAGCAACTGCGGCTCTGCGGCACCAGCGGCTTGGCTCCTCAGCGGCTCAGGCGGCTCGGGCGGCTCGGGCGGCTCGGGCGGCTCGGACGGCTCGGGCGGCTCGGGTGGGTCGGGCGGCTCGGGCAGGTCGGGCGGCGCGGGCGGCTCGGGCGGGTCGGGCGGCGCGGGCGGCTCGGGTTGCTCGGGCGGGTCGGGCGGCTTGGGCGGCTTGGGCGGTTTGATCGGCTCGGGCGGCGCGGGCGATGAGGGCAGCAGGGCCGCTGGTAGGGCAGCGGGGCCGCAGTGAAGGGCGGCGGGGCCGCCGTGAAGGGCGGCGGGGACGCTTAGAACGGCGGCGGGGCTGCAGTGAGAGAGGCGGCGGGGCCGCAGAGAAGAGCGGCGGGGCCGCTGAGAAGGGCGGCGGGGCCGCAGCGAGAGAGGCGGCGAGGCCGCTGAGACGGGCGGCGGGGCCGCAGTGTGGGGCGGTGGGGCCGCAGCGAAGGGCGGCGGGGCCGCAATGTGGGGTTGCGGGGCCGCAGCGACGGGCGGCGGGGCCGCTGAGACGGGTGACGGGGCCGCAATGTGGGGCGATGGGGCCGCTGAGAAGGGCGGGGCCGCAGCGACGGGCGGCGGGGCCATCGAGACGGGCGGCGGGGCCGCAATGCGGGGCGACGGGGCCGCTGAGACGGGCGGGGCCGCAGCGATGGGCGGCGGGGCCGCGGAGTAGGCGAGGCCCGCTGAGAAGGGCGGCGGGGCCGCTGAGACGGGCGGCGGGGCCGCACTAAAGGGCGGCGGAGCCGCTAGGGGAAGGGGCCGCTAGGGCGATGGGGCCGCTAGGGCGTAGGGGCCGCTAGGGCGGCTCGACGAGGTGAGAGCCCGTAGCGCGACTCGGGCGGAGCGCGCTTCGGGCAGGAAAAAAAAACTCGATGTGGTGGGCCCTAGGCACAGTTCCCACGGGGGAACCTGCTCGATACCATGAGGAAATGAGAACGAGAATGAATGAACTATGAATGGAAGTGATACAAATATGCAACACTAGAAAAGTGTACCCCATATAGGCTATCCCACTATAGCCTACACAATATTATAATTTGACAGTTACCACTCATTTTGTTACACCGTGGGCTCAACAACCCCTACTCAATCATTCGCCACTTCTCCGACAGCAAATGGGTGAGCTTGGACGCGCCGCTCATTGCCTCCGACCAGTCACTCCTCCCAAACGTGTCCTGACTGATGCTCTCGCCACGTGGACTTCCCACCATGCGAAGGCTGGGTTTTGCAAGGAAGGAATGGTTGGCATCCTCACTGCAATAGCGTGAGAGGAGGTTCTGCAGGCGGCGGGCAACATCCTTCATGTTGGGGCGGCGCGAGGCGGGCATCTTGAGGCAGTGCGATGTCTGCCAGCTCCACCACCGCCTCGTCCGGCGCCTCCAACCCCGCATCCTTCAGCTTCCCCAACCCGTACACCTGCACCTTGCGCGCCGCCTGGGAGAAGGGAGGTTATGAAGAGGAAAAGAGATACAAAAGGGTGATTCCACAACACAGTCTCTGCACCTGTAACACTTCCCTAGGATCAATTGGCCATTCCAAGTGCTGGTCTTCCAACTTTCCCTCTTACAGGGATGCCATAGGACACGACACAGCGGCAACACCAACATATGCACACAGGTGGACTCGAATCTAGATTTTCACTCTGATACCATGTCAGAATCCCAGTCACTCGACCATTGGGATAAAATCTTGTTAAGTAACAAGTCAGTGCGCCATTACCCTCCAGACTCTGCACCTGTAACCGTTTCCTATGATCAATCGGGCATCCCAAGTTCTGGTCTTCTAACAAGGATAGCATGGCAAATGGATAATTTCAAAGTCGACTTAAATAACACAGCAAGAAAGAGGGGAAGGCGACAAAAAACAAACGAAGGGAGGCGGATGGACTAAGGAAGGCATGCAGGTCATGCAGGGCATTGGAGCAGGCAAAGAAGTTGTAGTGCAGGTCATGCATGCCTCCGACTCAATCAACCATGCTTCTTTCCCTGCTCAACCTAGGAACCCATGCAAGTTACCAGGTGTGCTCCCACCAGGTGTGCTCTCCACAAAAGGTGCTGCTTAAAGTGCACGCACGCATTCCACCATGCATGCACTCACCCAGCTACTGATGTGGCTGTCGGTGCCCTCCGCGGCTGCATTCTGCCTCGTCAGCAGCTCCAGCAGCACCACGCCAAAGCTGCTCCAACGATTTTGGTTGGATGGGTTGTGGGGAGAACAGGGAAGGGAAGGCGCACGAAAATTTATGAGTGCTCGATGCTGGGAAGGAGAAGGCCTCTACAGGGATGAGATGACGATTCTCAAACAAGGAGATGCAGATGCCTGCTGACAGGAATGAGTCTGACTTGCAAAACTGTTTATTTGGTATTCACATATCGCACCGCACGAGGGGCATATCAAGGGTACGGCACTTGTAGACATCACTCTTCTCGGAGACGACTTGGGTGCGGTTGTAGTCGAGGTCGAGGTAGCCCGGGGTGCCGGCCACTCGAGTGCGGTCGTCGCCGCCCTCTGCGTAGCTGAGCATCTTGAGCAGCCCAAAGTCGGCGATCTTGGCCTGGTTGTGCTCGCCCACCAGGATGTTGCCGGGCTTGAGGTCACGGTGCACGATGGGCGTCGCGAAGCTGTGCAGATATGCCACTCCCTCCGCTGCCTCCACCTCCAGCTGCAGCCGCTACTTCAGGGTCAGGGGCGCTGGTGGGGGAGAGAAGGAGAGAAGGGGAAATGGAGAGGGAAAAAAATTCAATTAAGAAAAGCCGGAAAGAGGAACAAAGCCAATATTGGAGAAACCGCTTGGCCAAGCTGCAGTTCAGACAAAAACAAATGGACGAAGCCTAGGGGGCGTATACTTGGAGTGGTGGATCTGGTACTTGAGGTCCCCATTGGGATGCAGAATTTGAGAAATCTCACTTAATACGTTTCGCATCATATTGAGGAGCACAATCAGGGGCCCATTAACTTGGATTCGTGGATACTGTGCACCAAGTATGCCCCAATGGGTAACCCGTCATCTTTAGTTTTATAGGTTGAGGGTTCAATTCCCAACACTGCACATTCTCCTCTCATATTTTGCTCACCATGACATGTCCAGTGAAGTGTGATCACAATTGGCATTGCCAGCTGTCCACTCATCCCATGCTCACCTTGCTGGCCCGTATGGTGTGCCATGCTGCCATGCGGGCTGTTGTTCCAGCCTAGCCCACATGTGCAACATGAGGCTCCACTTGCTAGCTTAGCTAGGTGGCTAGCCTTGCTCTCAGCTTTGAGGTACTGTAGCTTGACTCAAGAGTTCAGCCATCTTCCTGCTAAGGACGTTTTCTTCTTCCCATTGGGCCCTGAAGTTCTCAATTCATTTTGTACACTCGTGGATGTGGTACTTGAGGTTAGGGATTCGAGGCGAACCGAAAAGGATTTTTTTTTGGCTAAAAATGTTCGGGGCCAACGTGTTCGGTGTTCGCCCCGCTACTGGTGCCGAGCCCCGTCGAACACGAACCTGTTCGTGTTGGTTTCGGGGAAAAAACGAACACGAATGTGTTCGGCGCGACTGTCCCGTGATCTACCATTTACGTTGCCGGACATTCTGTTTGAGGTCAAATTTGAGCTCAAACTTAGTCGCGCTATTCAGCAGCAGCCATTACTACCACGCCCCCCACACATCATCGCCGTTATCACCTCATTAGGTCTTAGCGTAATTAAGTAGTTACCTTAGGTTAGTCTGTTAGACTTGGGTATGCGAGATTTAGGTTTTCGGGAAAAGATTAGATAGGGATACCGCAGAATCTCGTAAGTTGAGGGTTGGGGGTAAGAATTCGCAAATTTCGTATGCATGGGATTGAGAGGAATAACGTTCGCATATTTCATGAGTTTGGGGGTTGTGGGGGGTTGGCGAGCAATCGCAAATGTCGTAGATATAGAAGGGGGAGAGCATTTCGTCTTACGTGGGGGGAAATCGAGGTGGCGAGCTGGATAAAAAAAAACTATGGATCCGTAACTAGATCTCGCAAAATGCTGATCCAGCCTAGATATTTTCCCCCAGTTTCCCGCAATTCCCCTGCCCGCCATTGTGTATTTCAAGCGTAACAACGGATGCCCAGGGGCGAACACGAACGTGTTCGCCCCCAACACGTTCGTGTTCGCCCCCAACACGTTCGTGTTTGCCCCCAACACGTTCGTGTTCGCCTTGGCATGCAAGATGTTCGCCCGAACACCCATTTTTGTAGAAGGTGTTCAGCGAACCGAACACTGTTTGGTTCGCCAAACGGCAGTGTTCGAGCTAGGGCGAACGCGAACACGTTCGTGTTCGCCCCTTGCTCATCCCTACTTGAGGTCGCCGTGGGAGAGTGCTTGAAATGGGAGCTTACTCTTGGAATGGTGGATGTGGTACTTGAGGTCCCCGTTGGGCTCACTTGAATTTCTTCTTTACAAAGCTTACTCTTGGAGTCATGGATGTGGAACTTGAGGTCGCTGTTGGTCCCCGTGGGAGAGTGCTTGAAATGGGAGCTTACTCTTGGAGTTGTGGATGTGGTACTTGAGATTTCCGTTGGGCTCACAAGAACCTCTTCTTCACAAGGCTTACTCTAGGAGTCGTGGATGTGGTACTAGAGGTCCCCGTTGGGCACGAACTCGTAGACGAGGATCTGCTCCTGCTGGCCGCTCTCCACGTTCTGATGCAGGCAGAAGCCCAACAGGCGCACCATGTGCTCATGCCGCAGTGACGCCATCGCCCTCACCTGAGGGGGGTTCATCCAAGGGGAATTGGTTGAGAAGAAAAAGGGGGCTAGAGGGACGTCTCATGCCGCAGCGACGCCATCGCCCGCACCTGACGCACGGGGGGATAGAGGGGTGCCAAAGGAGAAGAAAAAAGGGAGTTGAAAGATACGTTCTCATGCAGAAGAAAAGGGGTTAAGGGATCGTTCTCATGCCGCAGCGACGCCACGCCCGCACCTGACGGGGGTTCATCCAGCGGAAATTGGGGGGTTCAAAAGACGTTCCCACCTGCCAGTGGCAAGGGTTCAAGGAGTGTTAGTCCAGAAAAATAGGGGGATCAAGGGAACGGTCTCACGCTGAAACAATGAGAATGGGGAGAGAGCAAGCAGGCTGATGGGAACATGATGAAGGGGAGCGACTAGGTGCAAGGGACTCTTCGCCCCACCTCTTACAAGTTTATTTCCCCTCAACTTATTGTGAGAGATTTTCCTCTCAAAGGACCACTGAATACACCTCGTTCTGGAAGTCGTTGGACATGAGAGCGATGCGCTTGACAGCCCAGAGCTCGCCCTTGGAGGAGACGCCCTTGTAGACGGTGGCAAAGCCGCCCTTCCCCAACACATTGCTGCTCGCCCAGTTGTCTGTCGCTCGCAGAATCTCCCCCATGCTGAACTCGTGACACACGTCCAGGTCGCTCCACCGCCCTGCCATGCCCACATGCATGCCAGCACGCTCATCAGCACAAAACACCCGAAGTGGCAAATAATGAGCGCACTGCAAACAAGCAAGCGTGATGCGGACAAACAAGTGCACAGATTGCTCCTACAACTCCAGTAGAGTCTGAATCTTGGAAAGAGGGGAAAAGGGGTAGGGCCTCACTGCGTTGGGGGGGCCAGAGCAGCGCGACAACGAGAGCGAGGAGGAGAGCAAAGGCAGCAGCAGAGCCCACAGCGATGCCCACCACTGCGCCCGTGGAGAGCGCTCGAGAGGTGGGAGAGCGCATGGGGAGGGAGGACAGAGAGGATGGAGAATATATAGTCGGCTGCACATATGCGTGCGTCCGTGCATGCCCTTCAATTGCAAATATGCATGTATGCCTTAACCTTGACCTATTATCCAGCATCACCCCTGAGCTTTGAGGGCGTAAAAGCAATCAGGGATCTATAATTATTCAAGGCTGGAAACTTCCTCAGACAGCACGCTCCCACGCACGCACGCTCGTGGCATGCATGGACGCACGCACCCACGCACTCACGTACTCACACACTCACCCATGCACGTACACATGCACACAGACGCACACAAACACACGCATGCACACTTACACACACACATAAAAAAAAAACGGCCCATCACAGAGCATACCTGCAGCAGGGGGCGGAGCAGGGCGGGCGCAGGTGGAGCCGAGGGTGCCGTTGGTGGGGACAAAGCCGTCGTCGCACTCACACGTGAAGCGCGCCTCTGCCGCCCCCGCCTGCGGCGGCACACATGCTGCGTGCCCGTCGCACGGCCCAGCTCCCGCGACAAGCTGCAGAATGCCAGACACTCGTCACTGCTGCGCTGCGTCTCGTTCGCCGTGCACTCCATCTGCTTGTTTAATGTGAAACAATTACCGCGCAGACTCGCCTCACCGTGCTTGTCTGCTGTTTGAGCTATGTCCGTTAAGTAGCCTTGCATGAAACGGAGTGCACAGCGACTTTCCCCAGGAAAAAAGAGTTCACCTCTGTCCAAACGATGAGACTGGGTGATTTGGGAGGGGCAGAACTGGCAGCCATCGGCATAGAGCATGGGGTCGCCGTAGAAGAAGTTGCCTGCGATGTTGAGCAGAACGCCGTTGTCAGGAATCATGCTGCGGAAGTTGCTGTTTATGGGGCAGTAGAAGCTGTTGTTGCTGATGTCGCTGGAGGGAGTGGAAAGTGGTGGAAATGGCAACAACATTAGAGTGAGCATTGGGTGTCATTTAGTGTCCAGTGTCATCCAGTGGCAAGTTTTTTGTCGTCCTGTGTTGTTCATTCTTCCTAAGCTTGCTGTCGCATGACCATTTGTGTATGTTGCAATTACAAGAAGGGTGCATGGGTTGACAACACTGCTCACTGCAACTCACATTCGGTGCAGACAGTTTTCAAAGAGGCAGGACGGAAACTTTCCATACAAGTAGTTGTTGTGGAGAAACCTGAAAGCCACGCACATAGGTGTTTTAAAATGAGCCATATCAACAAGTACACAAAACACGACTTGTATAACAGGTTGGAGGATGACCAAACACATTTGGAGCTGCTCTTGTTATGTTGAATGAGTGCGGATACGTACATGTGATGTTGAACAAAGGGCAAGACCTATGACGATGTAAGCATGTACACAAACAATCCATTTTTTTTTATTCTCTAGAGTTGCGAGTGTGTGAGTGAGTGAGTGAGTGAATGAGCGAGTGAGTGAGTGAGTGAATGAGCGAGTGAGTGAGTGAGCGAGTGAGTGAGTGAGTGAGTGCGTTCGTGCGTGCGTGTGTGTGTGCGTGTGTATGTGTGTGTCTGTTTGTGAGAGTGTGTGTGATGTTGTTTGTTGTTCTTTCCTTTTTAGAAGCGTAGTGCACACATGAAGGATGAATGAAGGAACTGAAAACAAGTGGATTGCCTGAAGTGAAGCAGAATATAAGTGGCAGATTGTGGCTTGGACAGAAGGCAAGGCAAAGCTTGGTTGGAAGGCAGCATTACATGGCCTACAAGTTGGTGAGGTTGCAAATGGAGAAAGGGAGATTTCCAGAGAGCTGGTTACCAAACAAAGACCTGCCAACACCATGCAGACGTAGATGATGCGAGTACGAGCGCGAGTGAGCAGAAAACATAAATAAAATTAGCTGCTCATGAATATGCTTGGTTGTATTGGATGCAGTTCGATTAGGTTTTCAGAGCCGTGTGGCTTCAAAGACAAATTGAAGAGCAAGCATTTGAAAGAAGAAATGGGAGTGCATGATTGATATGTTAGTTCAACATTGATCCATGGTCAAGCAAATGAGTGCATGATCACTCTACAGAGTATGGAGGTTGGATAGAGCACCAAGGGCAGAGGGCAACGATCCTGGGATGTTGTTTGAAGCAAGGTCGCTGGTGGGGTGGTGGGGATGCATGGAAGACACATGAGAGAGTGTCACAGGGGCACAGCAACACAAATGAAGAATATGGTACCACAGAAGCTGGCTCTTAGATGGATCCACATACACATGGCAAGCAAAGCCGCATGATGTTACAACTTACAATGGTTTGGAACTGAGGTGAAACCAGAGCGGCGTGAAAGAACTAAGAAATGGCAAAGAAATGGGAGCAAAGCAGCACTATAATACATGGCCTCAAGGTTGGTCAAGGCTAGCAGAGATGTAGGCAAGCTTCCAGAGAGCTGATTGTTGCGCAGTGACCTGCAAGGATTGTGGGAATCGGATTATGGAGACGGCACAAGTAAGTGGGGTTGAGCAAAGTACTGAACTGCAAAAACCTTCTCTTATAAAAAGGTCCCACTGGAACCTGTAGATTTTGGATCAAACCGTTTGGTCTGGTTCGACCATGGGTCTTGAGCCGCGTCAAACCAAAATTCTACTAAGAATTGCAAATTTCCCTCCTAGTCGAACCAAACCGCTGCCGGTTCAACTTGTGCCGTAGGAGGTTCCAGTACAACGGTAGAACCCAAACCTAAGCCCCACCCATTACGGTTCAACCAGAACCGGAGAGGTTTAGTTTGTTTAAGAGGCATGTTCGACCCGGTTCGAAGCGAACTGGGCCAAGATCGGTACTTGCTCAACCCTACAAGCAAGCAAGTAGCAAACTATTATAATCTGCTTCACACGTCCACTGCAGCGGCTGCTACATTTCCACTTTAAGAGTAGAAATGGGACTGGCATACCATCTGTCTCAACGCTGACCCCTAGTGTAATGAGGCATCACAGAACTTGTGAACCTGCATATGCATATCTCTTCTCCTTTGCCAATCAGAAGTCCCAAGCTATGAAGGAGCCCCTGTGTATCTCAAATCCACAGCAGAGCAAAACACTCGCGAATGAATTGACTCAAGGATGCACGTGGTTGAAGTACCGTGTAGCATCTTCAGAGAACAAACAAAGCACCATGCATACCAACCATGGGATTCCAGCCTGTGGACATGTGATAGTGCTTGCAATAACCATGGGAGCACCAGCTAAGGAACGCTCATATGGCAGACACAGAGGTGAGAGCGCTGATGGACTCTGGAATCGACCCTGTGAAGTTGTTGTCTCCTAGCATCCTGCTCGCACATGGGGCCAAAACCAACAACACCCGAAAGAGATATAGGACTTCATGAAAGAAGCTAAATATGGAACGTTGTAAGGGAAAATAATGCACGTTGACGTCGCGTGTTCGAGACAGAAGAAATCACATTGCGGTTTGGAGCTGTAACAGTAAAATCCACTTTTCGTTTGCAACGCTCTTCAGGTTAATGCTAATGCAGCTTTTGGCCTGTCATTCCCTTGCTTACATGATGACCAACTGTGCCTTCCAAAGGGAAAAGTCAGGAAGAGAGCCTGAAAGCTTATTGCCTTCAAGGTTCTTGCGAGTCAATAAGTGGGTCAGCAAAAAAAACAAGAATAAGCAGACACAAATGTTGTCAATCAACAAACCAATGCGATGAACAAAGAAGCTCAGTGTGCACACAGGCATGCCAGGTGCTATTGAACGGGTGCTTGACTGCTCTTACATAACGTTGAGGAAAGTATTTGAGAAGACTGGCAAGGTTCCACTCAGCTGGTTGTGATCCAAGGTTCTGGTTGGTGCACAATGTGCCGAGCAAGAGACACCAGTCAATTGAGAGAATGTTATTTTTGTGAGTGATTGAGAGCGTTTTCTGTGCACCATGCGGGCACGTGTGCCAAATCATGTGCATGTTACATAGCGAGAATGAAATAACTACTCAAAACAATGGCACTGCAAAAACCTCATAAATGGTGACGCGATTTGCCACACCACCAATATTGAGGGAGGGAGAAATGGTGGGAATGAACAGGCAAGGGGAAGAAGATGTGAACAAAGACTGGGCTCGAACCGGTTTGACTTGAACTAAGTCGGACCAGTAGATTAGTCTAACTGAACTTGTTCAATTCGAGTCGAACCAAAACTGGGGAAGGTGGGGTTTGAGGTCCGCTTCATGTGGTTGAAGTTTTCCAGTTCAGATCGAACGGCATGCAGTTTCGACCGGACTTGTTTAAATTCGGCACGACAACAGCATTTGCGCAAACCTGGAGCTAAAAAATCTCAGCTCCACATTTTGTACGAATGTGAAGGCAAAGTCCCAAATCTGTGCGGACTTTGCTCTAGTTTGCAGTGGTGAAGAGTTGTCACGCGAAGCAAATGCATATTACCACTGCATCCCTAGATAAAGTGTTGTTGAAGGGTGTCTACATGCAGCAGCCAGTCGGTCACCTATACTTCAAAGGGAACTACTTCATTGCTATTGTGGATCGTCGTCGAAACCCATGTGGCATGGGTTAGGATCTAGGTATATAAAGCGTAATTCCAGCCACTACCCCAGCCAGCTAAATTGGAAGAGTATATGTTAGTACTAAGTCCCAGCTTGGACCCTAGAGGACATGTTTGAAAAGCATGAGTTGCAGAAGAAGAAGAAGAAGAAGAAGAAGAAGAAAAAAAAAAAAAAAAAAAAAACGTGAGGCTTGGGTCGAAATGAGACTCAGTCTCACATCACAACCATATATGTTGGGCCAAGTATTGGCGGTGATCCTAAATGGTTCGCCTCAACGAATACTGGTTCAGTTTGAACCCCTATCCAGTTCAAAACAATTCAGGTCAAACCAGTTCTGGTTCAACCTAGCTCGCTCTATTTACTTCGTGGCTCTTTGCGCGATTGCCCGGGCAATCGGACATCGTTTACAGTCACGTCACCTATAGCGTTCACTAACTACAAGATGCGGAACTATAAACTTGCAGATAAGGACACCCACAATTGAGGAAACACCAAGGGATGTGAATCGCCGAATTCCAGATGTTAAGGATATGTAACTTGGTAGTTCATTTACAGTCCCATTTTGCCCATGGCGAAGGCAGCCGAACTGCTGTGCTCGTTTCAGTTTATTGCCGCCCCGAAAGGTGGCATGCGTGAGCGTAATGAGCATCAGGAGATTCACCAACATGTCTCGAGCTATGACCCTTCCCACCTTCGCCTATCACTACACCATGCCCCACACCTACTGTTATTGTTAGCCCTCGATCTCAATTTTTTCACTTGTACTTTTTATATCATAGCGTAGTGTAGTTTGCAATTTGTGTTGGTTGGGAGTACACCCACATCCCAACCCAACCCAAATGTGATTCCCTACAATCTCAAACCCACCAATTGGAGATTGCCCTTGATTCCCCTTGGATTACCCCCAATTCCCTCCCCATCCATTCCTAGCTCGTCACTGATTCCCTCCCCATCCAACTCCACCCCTCAGAGAAAAAACCTTTGCAGCATCACAGTACGAGTGGAATGACCACCTAACTGTCAGAATATTATCTTATTGTTCTAGCCTGTAGTGGGGTGCTCTATAGCGAGTACAACCCTTCTAGGGTTTGCTATTTGTATCCCCATTTCTGCTAGTTCAACCCCCTTTCTTCCTTCTAACTTTGTCATGCTATCAGAGCAGGTCGATCCCCTTGGATCGATCCTGTGGGTGGGTTACCACCTCGCTTCCGCTGCTACTTTTTCCTCCCGCCGTGCGCCCCGAGGCGCGCGGCGGTTTTCTGCCCGCCGTGCGCCCCGAGGCGCGCGGCGGTTCTTTGCCCGCTGTGCGCCCCGAGGCGCGCGGCGGGCTTCTGCCCTACGTCGCGGCCCCGCCCTGCGTCGCGGCCCAGCCCCTCGAAGCGGCCCCGACCGTCGCGGCCCCGCCCCTCGACGCGGCCCCGCCCTACGTCGCGGCCCCGCCTTGCGTCGCG